AGGGAGGATTTTATTTGGGGTTTATCTTTTAACAATTTGACAGAGACACAACTTTAAAATTTGATTTAATTCGGTTTTATCGGGGGGGAATGTATTTATGTTTTGTTTTTTAAATATGTTGTGCGCCGCCCTGAGTCCCGTTGGGAGAAGGGCGGCATATAAATTAAATTTATTATTATTATTATTATTATTATTATTACCTGGTGTCACACCATGCTACTACTTGCTTGCCACACATTTTAGGGACTGGCAGAAGTGGGGAGAGCAAGCAAAGTGTGTCCTTCTCGAGATGTTACTTAACCCAAGAGGGACCACTTTTTTCAAACTGGAATAGCAAAAGAGAGGAAGATAAGAAAAAGCAGTAAAAAAACCCATATGTCCACTTCTCCCCTGTTATCGAAACACATTCAAGCTGTGGTTAGCTGGACCTGAATAGGAATCTGCCTCTAGAGGCATAAAGACTATTTGGTAGAGTATAATGGCCATTCTTTCAAATTTCATTACTGTTGGGATTTGAATATTATTTCAGTTTGGAAATCTGCTCAGCCCTTTCTTTCTTTCTTTCTTTCTTTCTTTCTTTCTTTCTTTCTTTCTTTCTTTCTTTTTCTTTCTTTCTTTCTTTTTCTTTCTTTCTTTCTTTTACTATTCTGGTTTATCTGACTTTACAATATAAATTGTATTATATATTAAATTGTATATATATAACATATAAATATAAAACATTGGGAAAATGAAATAGGTCCTGTGACGCAAGCCAACCCAAATCACAAAGACAATGATAATGGACTCAACACACACGCACAAACACATACAAAGAGCAAAACATGTTACCGCTACACCAACTTTCTGATCTGGGATGTCTGGAAACCCCCCTTCTAAAAATTCTTGGACTCTGTCAAGCTCATCAGGTACAGTCATAAATTGCCTGCAGTTATAGAATAATTATTGGCTATTCCAGTTGTTTCCTATGTCTCATGGGATTACGTTTCCATCTTTCCAGTCCAGTGTCAGAAGCTTTAATCCCACACAGGGATCTAGCAGCTTCTGTATCTCATTGAGGCTGGTGTCAAGTACCTCCCAACAGTTGTGGAGAACAGCTGTTTGCCTAACTCTCTCATGGTTCCGCTTGATTTCTGATAGTCAATGCCTTGGAGAGAACCCCAAGGAGTTGTGATTGTCTTGTATCCCAATCTGCACACAAGATCTGGGACATTATAGAGAGCTGCGGAGCTGGCCTTAAACAGAATATTCAAAAGCTCTTGCAGAAACACCAAGAGCAGAGGCATCCCTTCAGCCCTAGGAAATGAGACTTGCTTTGATTCCTCCTTGATGAAAAGGCCATTGGAGAAAAAAAGTAAAACATAAACATTCTTGCAAGATTCAGTTACTATAATGAAAAATAGTTCTCGTGTTCCTTGGAATTGGTTGTCTGGTCTGGTCTAACTTGTAGGTCTGACACACATATAGGCACTTTCCCCCCCAAAGTGGGAACTGCTGTATTTTACTGTTTTTTACAACTGAGGCCTAGTAGGCATTCTAACAACAACTAACCAGATGATCCACAGTATAGACATTGGTCTTTTGAGTAGTGATATAACTTGTATTTGGCAATAGATAAACCCCTGCAGAATTCCAAAATTTCAAGACTAAATTTCAAGACTAAATTACTTTATTCCAGGGTGAATATTATAGTAGAGGAATACGGTTAGTAAATAGATAACAGGATTAGTATATTAAATAAATACATCTATATACTCACAGGTTAGAATCAATACAATAGTAAAAGCAATTTTATTATTGGAATTTTATTTTAACACTCAGTAGGAATAAAACAAGCTGAATATTATTTTCTGGCCAAAATGACATCAAAGACATTTCCTTTCTTGAACTGAATATCTTTAANGGTTAGTAAATAGATAACAGGATTAGTATATTAAATAAATACATCTATATACTCACAGGTTAGAATCAATACAATAGTAAAAGCAATTTTATTATTGGAATTTTATTTTAACACTCAGTAGGAATAAAACAAGCTGAATATTATTTTCTGGCCAAAATGACATCAAAGACATTTCCTTTCTTGAACTGAATATCTTTAAAGCCAGCTGTGTTGAAGAGCATGCGATGCTCTGATACTTTCCGTGCTTTTCCTACGGTCTGAAGCAACAGTATCATGGCATATATATGACCAGGAAAAGACACAGATATTTCTTCATCAATAGTTGGTTCCACTACTAAGATTCCACCACCTGTTCCAAAAGTAATTTGTTAACTCAAAACTAAGTTGCCTATAAAAGAAGTGCTGTCTTTGAATCTTATTTTCATTCCTATGGCTGTGGCCCTTCTCCCACTACTTCCCCCCCTTCTAAAAATATTGTTTTGGACACTTTTTCAATAGGCTAAATCCATGGTCCAATTTAGTGTCTTAAAAGATATTGAAATGTTATGCCAAGTTGCAATTCCTTCAGCATTGCCTAACTCATAACATATGCCCACTTCAGCCTATTTACCACAGAATTGCTTCCCATGCTCTGCCTATATTTCATGACTGAAGAAACATGGAACTTCTAAGCAATCTTTCCTCAACCAGATTTTTCTTAAATTCAGTAATAAGTGGCATTTCTCTGTCTTGGATGGTAATGGTTCAATGTTGCAACCCAAAGTGCCTATTTCTTCTGCAAGTTTAGATTTAATATTTCATAAATTTTGTTTGTGCTTTGAAAATGTCAAAGTTATCTCCAGGAGATTTTAAGTTTAAAAATGAGCTATCACACGTATTTTTCATGCAAACAGATCCATTTCTAATGTTATTATGTAGAAAAGTATGATCTGTCTGTATCCAAATCTATCTATAACTGCAATGCATTGAGGATCAGCACTAATACAACTGATTTCTTTGCAACTACAGGTAATCCTCAATTCATGATTGTTCATTCAGTGACTATTCAAAATTATTATGGTGTTAAACAAAAAGAGTTATGACCCATGCCTAAAGTGGTTGATTGGTTGGTTGGTTGGTTGGTTGGTTGGTTGATTAGATTCATGTACCACCCATCTCATCTAAAAGCTACTCTGGACAATTTTGGGGGAAAATATGGCTATTGCATTGCCCTCCCCCCCCCCAATCATATGATAAAATATTGATGCTTGGCAATGCAGTTACACTTCAAAGTGCTGCTATCATATCCTGCCCACCAATCTCTCTCCCCATCTCAGTTGTCACCTACCCCTCCAGTACACACAAAGGTCCTAGAGTCCCTGGAAACCTGGCTCTGCTCCCTGCTCATTTCTCCCCACCCACCCAGAAGGCCAATGCTTTCTTCCTCCCCCCCCCCATGCCCTGGTCTACTACATTTGTCTTTTTGTGCATCTGCTGGCAGATTTGCCAAGCCAATGTGAGGCACAGCCAAACAGATAGAAAATAGGTGTTTCTGAAGAAACCCTACCACATAGAGCAGAGGGAACTCCTTTATGGGGGGAAGAAAGACAACTAGATGTTGAAGAATTGAACTTCCTTTCTCTAGACAATCACAGTGGTTCCCTTCTGTACATGGAGTGGAAGGGAACTCTTATGTTGGGTCAGAGAAAGGAAGCTCTGATCCTGAAGAGTTTATCCAAGTCAGTGCAGAAGTTTCTTTCCACAGATGGAGGCAAGGGGAACTTTTTCAGTAGGCTGAAGAAAGGAAACTAGGATGCTGAAGATCCGAACTTACATTCTTTGGCCCAGCACAGTGGTTCCCTTCCACACATGGGGGCCAGGGGAAGGTCTGCAGTGGGTCAGGGAAACAAAACTCTGTCTCCAAGGAAGATGTGTAATAATTCTTCCAAACAGATTTATTTATTGTTCCACATTTATAGACAGAATTTTGCCAAACTGAAGCGGACTACTACCTATGTCCATGATGGTGAACCTATGGCATGTGTTTACGTGCCTACAGAGCCCTCTCTGTAGGCACGTAAACCATCACCCCAGTCCTAGGACTTCAGTCCCGTCCATGAGCAACTTGCATCAATACCTGCACAGGGTAAGGTTGCCGCACCCGCCCCCACCTCACCAAGTGTTGTTTTTTTTTTACTAACCTGCCTTTCAGCTGCATTCCATTTCTCCATTCGCTTCTCAGCCTTCGCTGCATGTTTGTGGGACTATCGGTAAAAAAAAAATTCCATCAGACTTTCTAACTTCTCGCGAGATTTCAAGAAGTTAGAAAGTCTAATGAAACTTTTTTTTGTAACGATAGTCCTACAATCAAGTAGGGAAGGCTGAGAAGTGAATGGAGAAATGGAATGCAACTGAAAGGCAGGTTAGTAAAATAACACTTGGGAGAGGCAAGGGGATCTGGGCTGGGCGGGCGCAGCAATCTTACCCTGCATGGTGGTGAGAGGATATGGCTTGTGCCCTTCCCATGCCAGGCCAGCCCCGGCGCGGCTGTGCTGGGTGGCGGTGGGCAGAGTGCTGAGGTGGGGGCCAGGAGGCTGACCAAAGCAGCAGGTGGAGTGCCAGAGGCTCAGGGAGGGAGGGCGCTGAAGTGGGTGGTCAGGCCATTGGCAAGAACAACGTGTCTGAGCAGAAAGCAGCCTCGGAACAAGTGGGGCAGGTAAGGAAAGAAATCCTCGCTTCCCCCAGAAATTGCCTTTCTTTCCTTACCTGACTTCCAGCCCCGTGCCATTTCTCCTTCGCAATCCACCACCGCCATGTGCAAGGAAACAAAGGAAGGTTTTTTTGGGGGGGGGAAAGGTCAATCAATCAATTCCATCTTCTCATGAAAGATCACGAAGTTGGAATTGATTGATTGACCTTTTTCCCCCCCAAAAAAAACCTTCCTTTGTTTCCTTGCATGTGGCGACAGCGGCAGATTGCAAAGGAGAAACAGCATGGGGCTGGAAGTCAGGTAAGGAAAGAAAGGCAATTTCTGGGGGAAACAAGGATTTCTTTCTTTACCTGCCCCACTTGTTCCAAGGCCGCTTTCCGCTCAGATGCGTAGCTCTTGCCAATGGCCTGACCGCCCACTTCAGCGCCCTCCCTCCCTGAGCCTCCGGCGCTCCACCTGCTGCTTTGGTGGCTCTGTAGGCAGAGCTGCAAAGAAGAGAACTTCGCAGCTCTGCCTACAGAGGCACCAAAGGTGTAGCTGAATGGGCAGGTGAGGGGGAAACCATAGCCGCTTTCGGATGAACCGCATTGCAGCAGCATTGGGTGCAATACACGAGGTGGCAAACAGCTGCGTCACGCCAAAACCAGCCGTTTGCCACCTCCTGCCCAGTGCCGCTGCCATGAAGTGCCCCTCTGGCTCCTAGGAGCTGTGCTAGCATCCTTTGTGCTGGGCGTTCTTTGAGGTGAGCTTCTGGAAAGATTTGCGATGCGGGTGGGTGTGATGTGCAAGGGGGCAAATGGCTGCAGCCAGTGGCAAACAGCCACGTTGCGCCGAAACTGGCCGTTTGCCACCTCCTGCCCAGTGCCGCTGCCATGAGGCCGCAGAACAAGCCGGGTAGCAGTATACCGGTATACCAGTTCCTTAGCTCCGCCCAGCTTGTTCCGCGGCCTCATGGCAGCGGCATTGGGTGCGATGCGCGAGGCGGCAAATGGCCATGGCTGAAGGCAAACAGCCATGTCACACCAAAAACCGAGGGGCCAGCAGGCTGTGGCTGCTGATGGACACAGTTGGCCCCCATGCGCTCACTGTGTGTGGGGGCCAATGGTGTCAGGCAGCAGCCGCCCCAGCCCCTGCCTCGCCTTGCCTTGCCCTGCGGCAATGGCACCCCTGCCCCACCCCCTGCTTCGTCTCACCTCACCCCGCAGGACAAGCCTCCTGCCCACCGTCCCACCTGCCAGAGACCTCCTGGATCTCCCCCAACCCTGCCTGGCCCCCAGAGGCGTCCCTCCCCATGAGCAATATCGAGGTGGCTCTGCCCCCCCCTGCCACGCCCACCCAGTCTGCCATGACCACTGCAGCCATGCCCACCCAATGGGCCACGCCCACCCAATGGCCCATACCCACCCAATGGGCCAGGCCACCCGGCACCTGATGATACATAAGTGGATTTTGGGTTGCAGTTTGAGCACTCAGTCTCTAAAAGGTTCGCCATCACTGACATATGTGAATCATATACGCTGGGAACTATTAGGGCTCACCATTTTCTCTCCCACAATCTATCTGAACTGAGTCCTCTGGAATGTGCCCCCTCCTTCCAGGGAATCTGCTCCACTACATTCCATCAGACCTTCCAAGCTTCCATTCTGCAGCCCATGGAGAGTAATTGCCTGCCCTCTTTTGGGTATGCAGTTTTTCAGTCTGACTACCCAACGACCCACACAGCTGCTTAAAAACCCCAACTTGGAGAGTCAAGTTTGCAGCCATTGAATAAATTAATCTTATGTGAGACTCTTAATGACTGCAATGACCTACAATCAAACTTCTGAGCCCATTTTAGGTCATAAGTCAAGTACTATCTGTATATTGTCAATGATTGTTGCAAGTACATAAAAAAGTCATGGAGGGGCTTGCTTCTTTTCCCATTTACAAATGGCATTTTTTCTCTTTCTGGCAATGTAAACATGCCTACCTGGTTTACAGGCCGTAAATACTTTTGTTAGTAGCTGGATACACTTTTCATCATTCCAATTAAACAAGACTCTTGATAAGATGTAAAGATCTGCTTCAGGAATTGGATCTTTAAAAAAATCTCCTGCAAAAAGAATAATTTCTTTATTAAGGTAGGAATCTATTATCACCTTGGAAACAGAATTTATTCTCCTTTTCACAAATCCTGGTTCTAAAATACTACTAGTTTCCTTCAGTATTGCTTTTTGAAATGGCAGTGATATTGTTTCAAAACAAATATTACCTTCATGGAAAGCGATCAGGGATTCATCTGAAAATGCATTATATTTTTTAGATATTTCCACAACTTCAGGAAGATCAAAAAGTTTCACAGTACAATTTGGGTATTTTGAAATCAATTCCTTAGCTAAGCCACCACTACTTCCTAGAAAAAAGAACAAAATGCAAAAAGGATCTATGTAAGAAAAAAATGTCCTACATGTCAGCATTTTTAACAATTTACTAGAATATTTATTATGCCTTTTTAACTTACCACCTTGTTTTATTTTTCATGTAGTTGGGCTAAGCAGGCATTATAATATTGTGATTTAAAGAAATATATTCAATCCATTCCCATCCAGTGATTCTTTACATCACTTTTTCTTTAATTGCTTTGCTTTATTAAAACTAAAGAGCACCCTTTTATTCTAAGTGGCTGCAGCAAAATCTGAGCAGAAATCCAATCTTCTTTCCTCCACCATTGCTTACAGTTCCATGCAAATGTATTTGTTTTAAATAAATTTATGGCTTTTTCCATCTGTTAGGCTATGAAACCATTTTCCAAATTTAATACTGCTTATATAAAATGGATAACTGTTTCTTGATGGGGAAAATAATAATTCCAATCTAATTCTAATCTCAGAGTATAATGTTGGGTAAGGTAGTTCTATAATTTGTATATTATTATGGTGATCCCAAGGTCCAATTATGAGAATTTCCATAAATTTCTTTGGAAACATTTCACTTGTACAATGTTTTCACTGCAGATTGAGAGGAATACTTCTATTATACTAAGACACATGGTAACCAAAACAAAAAGTATTTGTAAAAGAGCACCTAAACCCATTGGTTTCATGCCAAATCTTTTGTTCAAGGATATTTTACCCTAAAAATTTACTGCAGTAAATGTAATTCTATGGTACATTCTAAAATGTTTTTCATACATTTTTTTCTCTTTGTGTGCCTTCAGCTATATGTTGACTCCAGGCAACTTTTTTTATATATATATAAAAAAAATTGCTTTTTTTTTCATACATTCAATAGTACTTGTTCAACAAATGTATTGTCTGAGTTTTACATTCACTAATACAAATTTAATTCCTAATCCTTTATTCTTTCTTAGCCATTGATAAAATAAGTCCCAGGTTTGATAATATTCTGTTTCTTCTTTTTCTTTCAACTTCAAAGTAAGTCTGTCCATCTCCGCACATTCTACTTCCTGCTGTTTTCTTGGCAAGATTTCAGAACTGGTTTGTGTTTGTCCCCTTCCTAGGGCTGAGAGAGAGTGACTGGGTCCAGCTGGCTTTATGCCTAATGCAGGACTAGAACTCATGATCTCCCAGTTTCTAGCCTGATCCCTTAACCACTGCACAAAGCTGGCTCTCTTTCATACCATGCATCATGGCAATATCAACCCCAGACAAGGGATGGAGAAATAAGGAAAAAAGTGTTTTCATCTTCAAAAATGCCTCCACCTCTTTCCAAACAGTTTCAGGACTGTTGTTAGTTACTGTGAGACATCCAGTAATACAGATAGGTTATGCCATTTGAAAATTAGGTACTTACAAGTAACGTTCAAAACTCCAGGAAAAAGAAGATCTTATTTTGCAATCAGGAAATTACAAAGTCTTGACAGAAGCTGAGTTGTCTTTTCAATCCATTTTCTTCAGAGTATCACATAGTATCAAATTGCTAGTGAGGGACATGATGAAAACTTTCATGTACTTACCACCCAGATCATAAATCAGCTGAAAACCAGAAAGATCAAAGGCAGAGACCACTTCTTTTCCATGCAGGCTCCAAGCTTCATCCATGTACCTGAAAAAGCTTTCAATGCCTTCCTTTGATCTAGAATTGAAAATTGCATTGGCAGGTAATCAACAGAAATACAAGTACATGAAATACAATGTGATTAACATCTGACTGTAAAGCTATACTTCATTATGGGCTATGCTCCCTGCAGATTTTTGTGATAATATTTTGATTTTAAAGAGCAGATTGCTTAATTTCTGGCCTGAAGATAAATAGCATTTTTCATCCATTTGGGGGCTGGATCAGTTTTTCCTATTTCCAACCAGTGAAGTTCCTAGCCAGAACTGCTTAATATGCTAATATGTGTCTCAGGCTCAGCTGTCTTTGAATAATGTCAAAAATAGTCCAACAATTTTGTGGACATAAAATACAGGATTTGGGATCATCTGTGTGTAATCAATTAAAGCATCTTTGTTCCTATAATGTACTACACTGCAGATTCCACCAATTCAGATGTAGTTGACCTAGCTCTAGCTACAGATTCCAGTTCTCCCTTTTCAAAATTAATTCTTGGTCATTGAGATAGGTTGTAAGAATATCCCAGTCCTAGCAAAGAGAGATTGAAGATTGGAAGAAAAAAAACATCATAAGACAAGGGCACTTTGTACCTTACTCATGCTTCACTAAGATCCAAACGTAGCTAGCAGAAGATAACAACATTATGAAAACACTATTCAGCACATCTCTCCACACCTTTTTCTACTTGCAAACCATCCATTCTTCCACAATTTCCATAAAGTGGTGATAAATTGGCTGATAGATTGATTTGCAACCTAGTCTCCAAACATGTGATTGTAGGTTGGATGGAATAATGTGAGCATCATCAGAGCATATCTGGGGTTTGGTTCTGCTTGTGGCACGATTGGCCAGAATCAGTGTTGGTGGGTATTGCTGCTAATCTACTCTTTCTGTTTTATTAAAAACTGTCATGAAAATATTTGCAGAATTTCAAAAGTGAGATATGGTAAGAAAAAAAAGCCAAAGAACTATTTATGCCCAATCTTTATAAAATTAAGTCATAAAAATGTTCCTTACCTGTATAGTGCTCCATAACATTCATTTGAAGAAATGCCATATATTGATAGAATCTGAGGTTTCCCATCCCTGAAGCAGATTTTTTTTTTTAAAAAAAAATTGAAAGTAACAAAAATACCATTAGTGATTATATTCTTCTTCATCTCCAGCATCAAATAGTGCTTATATTCATATAGCGAATTGTATTACTTACAAAAGTTACTCTAAAAATATCACAGGCTCTAAACAATACTAGAAATCTGTGAAGTGAGTGAATGAAATTTAAATTTTTATGTCCATGTTGTTTCACTACTTTTTTTTCATTATTAAATAGTATGAAGATAAAATAAATTCCTTTAATCAATTCTTTTGTTATTTTTTTATTTTAAATACTAGGTCCTCTGAATTCAGATATTTGATAAAATCAGTTTTACTTAAATCATTTCTAAATTAAAATGCTAAGACAATTTAAACTTTTTAATCAGATTAAAAACTTTAACCTAAGTTAGCTTTGTGTTTTGTGTGTGTATGTGTGTGTTTGTGTCTGTGTCTGTGCAGGCATACCTTTGTTTGTATTTATAGACATGTTTTCCAAAGATGTTGAGCAAGAATTATATTTTGATTAAGTGGTTAAATAACATGCATCACAGGAAAGGCCAAAAGGAAATAGGTGTGTGTAATCAGTTTACCACCACTGTATCTGTTGAAATTCCCCTGGTAAGCAACACAGAATACTGTAATGCTTAAGCAAATCTACAGCTTCAAAGACTATTAGGTATATGATCTCAGGGAAGACAGCTGAGAAAGCAGGCAAACTGTATTGAGTGATGGTGATTTTAAAATAATGGAGTGCATAATCATAAAAATAATATCAATCTCCGAGTGAGGACTCAAAATCTTGTTACTTGTGGGACAGAAAGCCCACAAAGAGTCCTGGTCTGTAACATGCTCTTGGTGAAAAGATTTTTACTTCAGTAATGCTCCCTTCTTACCTTACAGCTTCAGGCAAGTATTGCAGTGATTTATATACACATTCTGATAAAAACTTCATAGTATAATATTGAGATTTTGGACTTGATTTAGCCAGAAAGAGATCAGCAAACTCTGTATTTCCATAAACATCTAAAAATGAAAGCATATTATAAATTGCTTCAAAACACCATTGCTGAATTCCATATACTTTTAAGATGAGAAAAGCATAAGGATATTATAAATGATTATATTTCAGTTTATTCCAAACATGAAACCCACAGCAGTTGATTTGGCATTCCAAAAAGAATTGTTGACAATGCTGAATCAAGTCACAGGCTGGCAAAGTGGAGGAGTTCTCTGGACATAAGATTTATAATGTAACAAATTAGTGAGCAAAACTCATAACTACATGTAACTATAAATTAAAAGAAGAATGAGAAAAGTATGACCAGAAACTGCTAACTCCACAGAAAGATTGCCATGTGGTCATTTTAAAACAACTAACTCCATGGAAAAATTGCCATGTGGTCATTTTAAAATAACTGTAACTGCTTCCTCCTGCTAACAGGATCACCTTTGCCATCCTTCCATTCCACTTTCAGGACCTTTAACCCCACACAGGCTTCCAGCAGCATCTGCATCCCGATGAGACTGGTCTTCAAGTGCTCAGCCACAGTTGCAGGGGACATCAGTTCCCCTGACTCTCTCAGCAGATCGAAGACGCCCAACTGACTGGCACTAAATATGATCTGGAAGAAAATAAAGAAATGGGCAGAGGTATACAAAGAGATTTAAGTTTTTGAGAATTCCAGATCACACAGAGAACCATCCTGTCATGTCTCCCTTGAGTGACTCCCCATATTCCTTCTCAGATATCAGCTCGGGGGAGGTTGAGCCCATTCCTGGCACATCAGGAACTGGGTTGATTGATGGCTCTTTGTATGCCATCCATCCAAAAGAGATTAGGAGGAGGCTACAGCTGGGGAAAGTTTGCAGTAGCAGATGACCAGTGAAGAGGAGGAGGAACTGCCTTCTGCACTTGATCTGAGAACATGCAGGGAAGAGAAAAGGCAGGAGCAGTGGAGGTCAGCCAGACTACTCCAGAGGAGAAAACCCTGCTCATCTTTATGGGTTGCACCGGAAAGCTGGCTATTTATCATAGCAGACAGAGGGAGGCATTGCTGGGAACAACATATTGGTTTTCTAGCTGTTTGTTTGATCATCATGATTCCTGCTTCAGTTTGGATTGACATTGCATTTGGAATTGTGCCTTGAAGACTCTGAACTTTTCTTCCCACATGAGCTCTCTTTGGATTTAAGTTTTGCCAGGTGGAGTTATTTTGTTTGAATAACTTTCAATTGCTTTGTGGACTAATCTTGGCCTGCTCGTGGCTGGACTTAATTGGGACAGTTCTGAGTTTTTGGTAAAGGAAATTGCTGTGGAATATTAATAAACTCACTAAATCACAGTTACGTGCATATGTGAGTGAGTGGGGCATACACATACTCACACTCCAGAGAACAATATGTTCTAGGAACCAAGCATGATTGTGTATGGCAACTAATCTGGGAATAATATTTACTTTTTTGAGTGTTCACCTTTCCCCAAATAGCAAGGTTTAATAATTCCCATTAATCATTATCTGAAGAAACCTCTCTCTAATTTTAGTTATATTAAAAGTTACTGAGTTATATCTTTTGGCAAACACATACTGAAATATCTAATGATTTGGTACAAGTACAAACTTGATATTCCTTAAATGGCTGCTTAATTTTTTTTTCATGGATTGGCATCAATCCAATTTGGAGCAGTTGTTATAGTATTTTGCTAAAGGTTTCTTTACATGGCATCAACACTGAGGTAGTACTGTATGGCTTAAAAATAAACCAAAAATGTAGTCTGCAAATAAAATTTATTTGTGTTCAACTGAATTAGGAGCTACTCTTATAAATCTTTCAATGTTGCCTAATGGCAGAAGCCTAGTTTTTATAAACCCTGCTTGATTATTCTTAACAAAGAGCAATATCACTTGCTGTAATCTATTTTCCAACACTGCTGTTAAAATCTTTGTCTCAACATTATCAATGTGTTTGTACAATAATTAGCATTCTGAGTTGATCTTTACATGCTTTTGGTATAAATGTAATATAAACCAGATTAAATGTTAGTGATAAGTTTCCATAATCAAATATCTCTTCATACACTGACAAAGGTTTGGCACCAAAAGATCTATAATTCTTTTTATATCACTCCAGAGGGAACCCATCTTATTATAGTGTTTTATCACTTGTGATTTTAAAAAATATTTGTTTAAGCTCTACCTCAGATGCAGGAGTAAACGAAAGGTTTTTTTAATGTATCATCTAAAGATGGTAGATTAGTTTTATTGTAAAAGGCCTCTGTGTTGTCCTTCAGTACATTATCTAGTTTACTCACTTAATGACTGGTTGTTTTACAACCATTCAAACTTTCACTTGCTACAGAATGGGTGCTTTGCAGCCTATAAAGCAATCCCAGGCATCATAAATGAATGCATTGTCTCCCTGTGGTCACATAAATGCATGTTGAAGGGGTCACATGATTGCACTTCATGGTGCTTTTTGCCATTCAAACGAATTGATTTGCCTAATGAATTGGGCTTGTGTTTAATAACTGCTGTGTTGACTTAACAACTATGGTGTTTGTTTAATAGCTGTGAAAAAGGCCGGAAATTTACTTCTGGTCAGGCAGGTATCTTAACTTTAAACAATAATGAACCATGATCATAATTCAGGGCTCAATTACGGTCATAAAATGAGGATTAACTGTATATAATTCTGAATAAAGTTTGTATAATTGACACTTCATATCCATTGAAATCTTATAGTATAGAAAGAATAAAATATTTTTGTAAGTTTTAATATTTTATGTATTATTTGTAGGTATTACATATCTTACCTTTGAAATTATAAATGAATGTTGGTGATGAAATAACAGTTTAATATTTTCAATTTCTTCAAGTGATCTCATTGTGTCATTAGGAAGTTCTATAGTAGCTCTTTTCATATTAAATCAAATGTCTCCAGTTCCCAAGGCAAGCACTTCAAATATTTATGGCTTGCTGCCACAATTAAGAAGTCAGAATTGCAAAAAATATATAAAGCCCTAAAGGAATTGTTTCAAATAATACAAGAAAGCAAAGAAAAGTGTAAGGAAATTTCATTAAATATATGGTAATGAGAATTACTACTATTTACAGAAGCACAAATACAGGAAATATATTTGGAATGTTCTCATTGATTCTAAGAATTTTCTTCAAAATCAAATTTCCTTAAGAAGGAATGTAATAACATATTATTGAAAATTAGAAGAACTTTAATCATAAAAATTTAGAAAAAGCTCATTTTCTTCCTTTAGAAAGAGATTAGAATGCAGATTTTATTAGGAAGGAGAGAATGGCTTGATAATTATAACAAGAACATGCTTTTAAAAGATGTTAAATGATCTGAAACTCTGAAGAAGGGTGAAAATGATTTTGCAGAAAAAAAATTAATTATAATGTGATAATAAATCAGTGTTCTTTTACAAATGGACTACAGATTTTTTTCCATTTAAAAAAAATCTAGATTTATTTAAGCCAATTAAACGTAAAAATAAAACAAGATATTTTAAACTATTGAATGGTTTAGAACAGGGCTTTTCAACCTTTTCACCCATTGTACCACTTTTAGGATATGGCAACATCTGAGTACCACCAGTCGCCTAGCAAGGTGTCAAAAACGTGATAACGAAAAAAAAAAAGGAAAAAAGTGATAAAGTACAGGTAGTCCTCGACTTACAACAGATCGCTTAGTGTCTGTTTGAAGATACAATGGCACTGAAAAAAGTGCCCCCCAAGCCACAGCCGAGCAAGACACCTGCCTGCCCGCCCAGTGGCGCTCTTCCTCCTGTCTGAGGTTTTCGTTGCTGTGAGCATTTCTGTTGAGAATTGGCAGTGGCGGTGGGGTGGGGGTGTTTGCTTTTTATTCCTGTCTGCTGGGTGGTTGCAGCAGGTTTTGGTCACTTCACATGACCCTGGGACACTGTGACCATCATAAATATGAATCGGTTGCCAAGCATCTGAATGTAAATCACAAGACCCTGGAGATACTGCAACATTCCAGCTGATCGGCGCTTCTTCTGGGCTCAGCAGAAGCGCCAGGATCAGTGCTGCTTTCCAGCATGATTGGTGCTTCTTCAGGGTTCAGCAGAAGCACCAGGATCAGCACCAAGCTCCAGTTGGAGCCTGGCGCTGATCCTGGTGCTTCCACTGAGCCCTGACAGCCCTGAAGAAGCACCGATCAGCTGGGAAATGGCACTGATCCTGGTGCTTCCACTGAGCTCTGACAGCCCTGCAACTCCAGCCATCTCTCGCTCAGGCTTGTGCGGTGCTGCCACCGGTTCAGCTCATTTCCCTCCCCCGCTACCACTTTTCTAGGATGGTCGCATACCACCTGCCAGGTGCCAATGTACCACAGGTGGTACCCGTACTACTGGTTGAAAAGCCCTGATTTAGAATACAGCAGTCTTTTCAGATGAAATCAAATGTCTCAAGTTTGCAAGGTCAGCTATTGCTTTTCTCCTTCTCTTAGATACCTAGATTGCAATTATTAATGTAGCAAAAAAAATCTAATAAAATTATTCAGGAATAAGTCAGTGTGCACTCTAATTACATTGTTCTTCAGAGTCTTCTGATATTCCATTTAAAAAAGTAAAGACATGAATTGACCTTGACTCATTCTGACACCATGGACATCCACATTCTCTTCCTGGACAGAATATTGTGGAATTAGCACAGTAAATATTTTACAAGCATTTGGACAACATTGTATTTCCTCCCATGATTTCCTAATTTTGCTTCAACTTTGTCCTTACTAGAAAAAAATCTGTTAAGTAAAATAAGGAAGCACAGAGTAGCTGTTTAATCCCTATCCCTTTACACTCTCTAAAGTGTTTTGTGTTCAGAGATCCTCCAAAATATATTTTATAATCATAAAGGAACAGTTTCCCATACATGTTTATCTGTTTATATTTAGGCTTTGAATTGATTCTAATCCCAGAAAGTGTTCATCATGATTAAGTTGTTTATATGCTATAAAATATTTTCAACAGAAGCAGCACTAAACTCAAGGGAGAGTCAGACTATATTGTGGTCAGAATAGGCTACATTAGACTACACCATATAACCCACTGCAAGCAGGATATTGGGTGTCCTGCAAACCACACCAGACTGTCTCTCTCTAAGGTGAAAGGCACAGCATCCTCATGGGTTTACCTCAGTCTTCACAGGTGCATTCCAGCTCCAGAAACCCCTGAAGCAACCTCTACTGAAGACATCTAGGCTTTGGGGAAATGAGCAGAAGAAAGAAGAAAGGTGAAGTTCTGACTAGGAAATCCAGAAGAGCTCTGAATATGTTTTAATAGACTTTGAGGCAGTTTAACTAAGACATTTTGGCCCCTACAATTATTATTTAGCTTATTTAATTGTATTGTTATTCTTTCCTTCATTTACTTGCTACCTTGCAGCAAAGCAATGGCTCTGCTAAAAATTGTGATCCTGTTGGTAAGTGTGGTCTATTTGCCATTGCAAAAGTATAGGATGCAACAGTCATTAGGCCTGTGGGCTGACCAATAATGTTTATTTAAATTTAGTTCATTCTGTAACTCCATCTAGAAAAACTTTTTGTGCTTTTGAGGGAACAAATTGGGATTCTTTGTTCAAAATTTGCTTTATAGAAGTACCAGAGCAGGTTTTGGAGGTATTCCATAAGCTATCCCTAATACATATACCACTCAGCCTTGATCACCAAGGGCAATTCTTCTTGTATATTGAGATTACATCCACCAAATACCAGTGGATGAACCAAGCATTATACAGCTGCCAATCATGGGCGATTTTGCAGGGCACTATTTGTTATTGCAGAGTTGAATATTGCACATGGATAACAGAACTAAACTCTGTACATACTTTCTGGTACTTAACAAAGAATTGGTATTTGTTGTGTGAAAACTATGCCTTTTATACATTCCAGCACGTGCCTGAAGAGACCCCTGTGTAATTGACTATTTCATTTCATGCAGTAGCAGTTGTCCAAAATTACATTCATCACAAGTCCATGTGAGTGCATAGAAGTTGGTATCTCATTGATGACCTGTGATGCCAATGTAGGACTGTTAATACTAGAGAAGTTTATGGGCTTGCTATCTGCCTACCTTGATATCAGAAAACTGACTCTGTTTAGATACAAAAGTATAAGACTTCAAATGCTATAGCTCTCCTAAATGAGGAAGTGGAACAGGTACAATAAGCAATTTTACAAAACACACTGGACATTGAGTTTGTGTTATCTAAAATGACACATAGCGGTGAGATATCTGTTGTTTTAATCTAACTGACAATTCCTTGTGATAGAAGTCAATGTGGAAAATTTAAGGGATCTGACAAAGTGATTTACATAATAAACCCCAGTACTTTATGGAATTGGCTTGGCTTGTGATTACCTGGGACAGACTAGTGACAAAATTTGTCTCTAGGATGTCTAGCTCTTTTGGTTGGCATTAGATCTTTTCAGTAATTGTTCCTAAAAGAGTGTAAGGCTAAACTGTCTTTTCAGACACGTATTTTGCTCTCCAACAGGTCAAAAGGGGGGAAGGACTCTGATAAAAAGTTTTCAGATGTATAAAACAGTTTAAGACAAAAAGAATGTGGCCTTGCAATATTTAATTCATGGTAGCCCATTGTAAATTTTCATTAGAATATTCCCCTGGCAACACTGACTCTCCAGATACAGATATTTCTTCTAACCGAGAACAATGTTCTGTTTAGATAATTGAAGGGCAGAGTGTAGATGTCTTGCCTTACCTTTCCGTAGGAGAAGGGATGGCAGAACCTGGGGGGCAGAGTGAAAAGGAGGATCAGTTTAGAATCCTTACACAGCCACAAGAGAATTAAGTCCAACCACTTTGAATGTCATTGAACCTTATCATTTTCTAAGCAGATGCTGACCATTAGTGGAAAAGATTCCAATAAATCAGTTTAATGGAACCTTCACATGTGAAACACCCACACACACTTTCCTCCCACTCTGTTTCTCATAAAATTGACCAAAATTGTATCTCTTACCCCCTTAAGCTCAAGAAATAGAAAACTGGTCTCTTTTTTTTTTCTTTCTTTCTTTCTTTCTTTCTTTCTTTTTCTTTCTTTCTTTCTTTCTTTCCTCCCTCCCAACCATTCACACTCCCTTCCTTCTTTCTTTCTTTTCTTCTTTTCCCACCCTTCAAAAAACACCTAGGTTCCAGGATAAGGCATTTACTAGTCAAGAGAATAAAATAACAAAAAGTTCAATTACTATGTTCTTAAAATAAAATAGTTCTATTTTTATAGTTTTGCCTTTTCTAATTTCCTTTCTTCCGAAATGATAGATATTCTTAAAATATAGATAAGAAGCAAGAGAAAAAATAATGAGAGATATTAATCAGAAAACTACGACCACTTAATTATCTATAGCCCTCTTTTTAGGCAGATGCAATCGTCATTATATTTTTCAAGCTCTTTTATTATGCATTTTTAAAAGGTAAAGACTCTCAGTTTCTTATTTCAAAATGACAATTACTATAAATTTCTCTGAAGCCCTTGGGAAAACTGATCAAATGCTCAACATAAAAAAAGTCCAGAAAAACTGAATAATAAATTAGTAGCTTCTTACAGGTAATGCAGGCAGTTCTTCACAAATACTTCTTACTTCAGTGGTTGAAGTCTTATCCACGTAATAGCTGAGAAGTGGAGGTTACAAGTTGATCTTTCAGTGATAATTTTGTGAGATGCTCAGGCTAAATCTCATCTGTACACAACTCCCCCAAAAGTCAGAGAGGGGGTATATATTTGCAGAACATAGGTGTGTCTCCCAAATGTTATCTAACTAATCTGCCAGAACAGTTTGATCCTGTTATTTTATTATTTCAGATTCAGAGGTGACATGAGTTCACATTAC